TGGCATTCTTCACAGTTACCGCTATAAGAAAATCTCTCACATCCTACACCACGTTTCAAGAAAAGTGATCACGGCCTGTGTATTTATTATCCCCAGTAAGTACTGAACTGTTTCGCAATTTTGAAAGGCGCCTAAACGCTTTACGCCAGATTAAACGGAACACAGCGACTCTGTGTTCATGCAAGTTTATTCATACCGTTTCGATGATACGCATAGTTAAGTGGCAACGCGTCATGTGAAATGCAGCAAAGCTGTTCAGTAACACCTCTCCACGCTTCCGCCTGGGCTACCGAATTGCAATGGCCGGTATACCGCTAAGGTAAACGAAGCTTATGGGACGACAAGGTTCGAAATACTACGTTGCTTTCAATTCCTTGGAACTCAAGCCGGTTGAGGAGATCCGTAATACGTACACTGCCTCTTATTGGGCTATCCGAACTTCCATTAAACCTGATCGTGTCGTTTTATATAACTAAAAGTGTAGATTGGTGAGACTATGAGGATCCTTATTGCCGTCTAGAATGCGTTGCCGTATAGTCTGGCTGATATAGACTATAGGAAGAACGTACATGTATACCACACTACACGGCGTCACATCACAGAAGATAATCTTAAAAAATACATTTCATTTGATACCAGAAGCAACATGGTGAGGGTTCTCAACTACAAAAAAACTGTCAATTATAAACTAATAAACCTCCGTGGCCTGTAGTCCGCAAGCGAATTATTCCGACCGAGCGACTGTCGCTTGTCGGCGAAGTTAGTGCCAACTTTTGTGGATAGAGGGTGTCATGTGGTCAGCACAACCGATCCCCGCGGCCGTTAATTTCGGTTTTCTAGACCGGAGCCGCCGCTCTTTCCTTGAAATAGCTCCTCAGTTATCCTCACGAGGCTGAGTGGACCCCGTTCCAGAGCCATTACTTCTCAGAAAATCTGGTAGCGCCGGGAATCGAACCCGGGACCTCTGAATCTGTAGGCAGGAACTCTGACCACTAGATCATAAGGGCGGTCAATTCTAACCCATCAAGAAGTCTGCATCATCGGCTTAATTTACTGTCTCACATGTTATCCAAGGGTCTAGATCCAACAAACTTGAATAGGTTATGATTAACTAGAGCAATTTATTCTAGGCAACCTCACTAAAACCGACTTATGAAGAGGTAGTGCCAAAAGAAAGAAAAAGATTTTCCATATATATATATATATACATACACATATATATCACGCGTGCGCGCGGGCACACACTCACACACAAACATTTTGAAGCACGAATTTCTTCTCAATAACATTCATGGCTTCAGCTTCTGTCCCACAGGAAATACACTGCGTTTCCATTATAATGGCCAACTGGTTAATGCACTTTAGGGAAATAATCGCTGTTTATTCCGTGAATCATACGAAACACATCAATGCAGCCTTCACAATAAGCAACTGCGGGCACCGGTCGTGAGCCTACTTCTAAACAACATGAAGTTGTCCTATGTTCTATTTCACACGATCGAGTCCTAACGGGGTCAAACACGTACAGTTCCATCCAAGAGACATGCATTTCCAGTGTTAAAGAAAAAGGAAATCGAAAAGCGGGTGACTACTGGGTTAGTGTAGCGGTAACGCACTGTACTTGTATTCAGTATGTTCTCGGTTCGAATCTCTGACGAGACACCGACTGCCCTGGTACGTTCTTCGTAATTTTTCTCAGCCCCTTCAGGAAAATTCAGGAATGGTATGCCGATCACTTCTGTCCAGCCTTTTCCAATTCAATAGTCGCAATCATCACACCCTTAGACGCTAAATAAACTCGTAAAATAACTTGCATGGAGTACCCACTTTCCTAAGGCGTTCTTTGTGCATTTGCACTTTCTTGTGGTCATCATGTTCTCTTGTTACAGACACAAACAGACTGCTTCTACGTCTTCCGTCTTATTCAACTTAAGTTGAACTCTGTGGCACAAATTGGCGCTAAAAATTCGTAACGTAGAGGAAAGTAAAGCGTCTATTAGTCGGCTATTTTTAGAGACTGAGAAACCTGATTCACTTGTATCTCGATAAATATGCACGTCAAAATGGTTTTAAATAAAACTTGACCTCAATGAGCGCTATTATTCACATCACGTGCCACTTCCTCGCATGATAAGGCATTTCTATTAGGCTCACATAATTTTATTCAGCTTAACGTCAAGCAGGAGGCCGATACCAGCGGAAATTAAATTAGCCAGACATATTTGGCGAAGATCACCTGTAGCAAATTTAATCGAAATAGTTTAAAAGTTTAACCTATGAAACTTGTGGACGGACACGATCTCATTATACGATCAATACGCAAAAACCGCTCAACACAATCACGTAACATACTGTAGCGTGGGGCCCATTACTGGGTAACAACCTCGGAAAAAAAAACGAAACAAAATTCGCTGCTAGGAAACAGATTCTTATTAAGTATATATAGCCGTTACTGGGTAACGATTTTACAAACACGTTCCCACGGAAACGATTGGAGTACAATGAGCGGTATTTCCTACGCGGTCCGAGATGTTATAACCGAGAATAGTTCAACAGGTGTACGGGAGTGTATGAAGGGAAGACATGGTCGGTGCAGTTGAAAAAATCTCAACTGTTAGAAGCCGTTATCAGGGAACGACTGGTGAAAAGACAGCAGACTGAAAAGACTTAGCGTACGCTGTAGTGATTTGTAAAGTTTGGAGATCAACGATGGTGCTACAATTAAGTGCACTAAGTTGCGTGTCAAAGCGGCCAATAAATCCAATCTCCAACCCGAACCCCGTCTATCGTCACTCATGCACGTGACAATACGAACTGAAAAAAAAAATGGTATACCAAATCTTCAGTGCACTTAACTCAAGAACACCCATTACGTAAAGCACGAGGCAAGTAAAATGCATAAAGCAGGAACGTAATTCACAATATTCTTTCTTTTGCTTTTGCGGGAGATCTAACAACGCCGTCACTGCCAGACTATATTGCGTCGAACGGTAGGACAGACAAACGAAGTCTAATCGAAGTACTACACCAGTATATTCCCGGAGGTACTGAGGAACACTACGGAAAACCTCAGTCAGCACAACCGACAATTCGGTCCAGATTCGAACCCAACATATTCCCAATACGAGTTTAGGGTGGGGCAGGTTTTATCCGAGTACTTCGGTTTCCCCTGCCAATCTTCATTGCACCAATTGCTCCACAATCACCCTCACCTATCACCTGGGGCTGGTACATTAGGCCAGAAGTGGTCGCAGTGCAAGGGACTTCGTCCCACCCCACTAGCAATAAAAAAATACTAGACTACATGGTGCCACTGTAGTCTTAACGTGACTACATACTGTGCGTCTAACGTACGATTTCAGGGGGCTCTGACTTCGTCATACAATGAACTACAAGGAAAATGTAAAGTTGTTTGCCTAAGCTCTGCCCCAGGGAAGTTTCTGGATGAAGGCAAATTTCCAGGCATTCTTAACCTTGGCACCTATCGGCGGCAGTGAGTGGTCAGCTTAAATGTCTGTAATATCTTTAAGATGATGAATAACGAAGGAAGACTGACGAACAGAGGCTTCAACAAGCCACCCGATTAGAATCTGTGTACAGGTGAATGGCGTTATCAACTCAGCCTAAAGAACTGTGGTAAAAAAGTTGTCCTGTTCTTAGCCAATTAAGCACTAAACATGAAGACATATGAGAGAGTGGGTGTTAAGACCCACGTATTCTTGACCTCGGCACTGGATGAAGGTACATGGTCAGCTTCACACTCCAGCCGCTTTACCCCGGGGACAGAGGCCCCGGTGCCCATTGAACAGGAGGCTGGGTGGGCCCCAGAACCGGTCTGGACGATATGGAAAGGAGAAAATTTTGCCTCTACCAGGAATCGAACTCCGGCTATCCAGCCCGTAGCCAGTCGCTATATGGACTGTCTGGACGATATGGAAAGGAGAAAATTTTGCTTCTACCAGGAATCGAACTCCGGCTATCCAGCCCGTAGCCAGTCGCTATATGGGACTGTGGTTAACAGAGCACAATCACTACACCCGTTCGCAGTAAATACTTGACAGAAGTGTGAGGCACTTCAAACCCAGAGTCAAACATGCCATGCTACACTTTAAACCCAGATGCTTCCCTTCAATAAAGCAGCATTCGGGATTTGTAATTTGACAGTCCTTGGGCGCACAATAAAAAAGCTGCTTGTACGGGTACATATTTGTCAATCCTGCAGCAAAGCCGCTGCAAAGAAACGCCCGCGGAACTCTATTACACAAGTCGGGCTGGAATGTTTACGTTACCTTCCTCTCCTCCCAAGCTGTAGTTTATCAGCTCCTCTTTCGAGAAACACACGTACATATGACGTTTCAACTACAATTTTCCCTAAAGTTAACGGTCTGTTATTATGCTCTCTGCCAATTAGTCGAAAGAAAAAAGTTAAAGCTGTCCCTGAGCTTAACTAATTAAGCACGAAGGCGTATGGGGTAGTGGGTGTATAGATCCACATTTTCTTAACCTCGGCACTAGCTGGAGGTGAGTGGTCAGCTTCATGCCCCTGCCGCTTTACCCCCGGTACCCATTGAATAGGAGGATGAGTGGGCCCCAGAGCCGGTCTGGACGAAAACGAGAAGTGAAAATTCTTGACCCTACCGGGACTCGAACTCCGACCCCTCAGTCGTCCAGCCCGTAGCCAGTCGCTATACCGACTAAGCTATCCCGGCTCACAAAAAAAAATCTGCATATATCTTTATGTGAGAACAGTGAAATACCTAAAATAAAACTTCGAGCAGACATCCAAACAAAGAATACTGACGCATCCATCAGAACAGCAAGCCCCGCTCTCGTATTAATCTGTGGACAAAGTCTATTCCACTTACGGTCTACCACACAACTTTAATGAAAGATTCACAACTATTACACGGTGACTTAAATAATCTCGCTTTAGTCCGCAGGAGCATGGAATGACGTCATTTTTACACGTATGTATGTACTGCACTATTGGTGACACTGACCTGAGATTACAGTCTTGTTGATACCCACGGCTGCACTGACAATCAGGAACAAAACACTATCCACAAACACGATTCTCATTCAACTCGTAAATATTTATCTAAACTGTAACAGAAATATGCACAGAATATTTGAAGCAAACCTTATATAATTTTCAGAACATACGTCGCTAACACAAAGGATTTATTCCGTTAGAGATGAATTTATCAGTGTCCTAGTATGAAAAACATGTCACAGTTTGTGTCTTAAGCCTTGCGCATGGGTTTTTATCTCACTTTTACGCAAAAAAAAAAAATGAAAAGCAAAAAAGAATACAAGGCTTCCTGCACACACGCCTAGCACAACCTGCCTCCTCTATGCCCCGCCCGCAACTGACTGCAGCACCAAACATCACAACAGCTGATGGGCAAGGCAGCTAGCAGCTAGCTCGGCAGGTTCACACACACACACACACACACACACAGACTTTCTGTTTTTGGACCGGAACACTGCTGCTGACGACTGCATCTCGTCCTGAACGCAGCTTCTTTTGTGAGATTATGCCAAACAGCCATATCTGTCATCTTTTCCTGTTCCTTTCGCGAAGCTTCAAATTTGTGGCATGGCCCGTTATACCAAGCAACTGCTGGGACAATTTGAAACAAGCGCTGGCCTCTTCTCCCCAAATTAAAAATTAATGAGATGGGAAAGTAGGCCTATACGTTTCTTACGTGTAGAAGTTAGGTAGATCATTAAGGGCCCAATCTCGTACAAGCTGAGTTCCGTTCCCCGAAAACTTGAGATGTTTATCGACAGGAAACTTACGCATACTCACGCTCCCGCACCACATAAAGAAATGATATCTCTACTTGTAACGGTTTATCCGTTTGTCACTGCGTTCTGGCAATGGCTCGCGATGAATTTGTAAAGAGGACTATGGTGGTTTGTCAAATGCTTTAGCTTTGTTTCTATTTGAGGATGCTGTCAGTGTCTACATTATACGGATAAGAATGGTAGGATTCTTAACAAATGATGAATTTGTAACAACCGGGACAGCACAGTCGGTACAGAGACTGGATACGGGCTGGACGACAGAGGGTTCGGAGTTCAAGTCCCAGCACAGTCAAGAAGTTTCACTTCTCCATGTCGTCCAGACCGCCTCTGGGGCCCACCCATCCTCCTATCCATAGGGTAACGGGGGCTCTTTCACCGGGGGTAAAGCGGTAGGGGCGTGAAGCTTACCACTCACCTCCAACTAGAGCCGAGGTCAAGAAAACGTGGGTCTATACATCCACTTCCCCATACGCCTTCATGACGTAGTGCTTAATTAGTTAAGCACAGGGATAACTTTACTTTTTATAAGGAAGAGGGCATGGCCAAATCGAAATAATACTCCGGCATTTACCTGAAGTGACAGGATAATCGTAAAAAAAACCTTAGTCCGGACCACTTGTGTCGGGGACAAGATTCGAGCCGAGCATCTCCCAGATACAAGTCCAGGGTTTCACCATTACCTCAGCTTGACCGAGGCAAGGAGACCTGGCTAATATTTTCAATTCCAGTCCCTTCGGAACTACAAAAGCAGGTTTCTGTAGACTCCTTCCGATTTTAAACGGACATTTCTAACCTGCTATGAGATCTAGTTTCGTAGACGTCACGGAAAATTTAGAGCAGATAAACAGCAGAAATTCTTAAGTTTATTTTCCCCCCTAAGTCCCGTTTGAAGCCCATTTGAATTAAAGTTGTCCTAAGACGATTTTGAGACGTCAAATGGTTTTGCTTCGTGTTATGTATGCTTTACAAGTCTGTCTATTTTAAAGTTTTCAACGCATGAAACTGTTATCAAAAGAAATATCTGAATCGCATAAGATGTCAGTATTGCACTTAAAAGACGTCTCTTAAGTAACTGTACTAGCTCCGGGAAACTGACATCCTCTATTGATCTTATGTATGTTACAACTGCCGACTGCATGGACATTACAAAGACCAGAACACAATTCAAATCTCAGGTTTCAGGCCTGTTCGCTGCCGAGTAACCCATTCAAATTCTATGCGCAATTAGGGACATTTGACCGGCCGCTGTTACCGGCAAACGTAAATAGCAGGTGCGCTCGAACTGTCCGTGCTTCGAGCACTCGATGTTTACATGCAAGAGACAGTGCGTTCCTGAATATAAAGAACCATACCATACGTGACTAGCGGTTTGCGTTTCACATCTGTTTCTGTCCTGCCATGCTTTCAATGTCTGTTTGTTCCCTCAAAACAATCAGGATTTTTCTTTTAACTTGTCAGATTCATAATACGAATTAGAAACGATCTCGTATTCGTAGAAAATTTCAGAGGTACAGTGATTCGAGTCCCAGTTTTCTAACTGGATTAGTTAGAATTTTCAGATGCTTCTTTTCTATTTCCTTCTCATGCAAGAAAATCAGGCCACAAAGTAATTTCTCACTCAAGTACCGATATCTGTTGTCGGTATGTTAATCTATACAATCAGTGTGATTAGTTAGTAAGCCTGAAGCAATTCAAAAATATTTTCACTGCCCCTAATAAAAGAACTAAAGATTGGGGTCTGTTAAAACCTGGGGACGTTCGCAAAAGAAGGGACGGCTTTCGGTAAGCCACACGGAAGCAGAATAATTTCGTCCGTAGTCAGTGAGGGGCGCGAAGCTGACCATTCGCCTCCAACTAGTGCCGAGGTCAATAATACGTGGATCTATACATAACGTCTTCATGGCGTAGTGCTTAATTAGTTAAGCACAGGGACAACTTTACCCGTAATCAGTGTCGTATGTTTTCTTTAAAATATACAGGTCTGAAAAAGAAGAAACACCTACTCCATTATCTTCACCAGACGGAAATACTTAAGTTGCCGTCAACAAAATTGCTTAGTTAGAAGTCACTTTTTTCTTATCTCTAATTCATAGAAACTATTAGTTAACATCTAACGAAACCGTTCAGCTACAAACTAAGTGAAACTGTAAGACGTAACAACAGAAATCGTGGAAAAGCGCGACTGAAATCCGCAGTCAAGTTTCACAACGCCGTCATTCATCGGTTGGTACACCTGTCGAAGGAACTGCCGTTAATGTCTCGTAACTCTGTGTGTAAGGTAAAATTATATGCTAGAAGTGCTCCTGTGTGCCTAAGTGCCATCCCTTTAAGAGGTATAAATAGATAATCTTGTCCCTGTGCTTAACTAACCATCCACTACGCCACAAAGACGTATGGGGGAGAGGATGTATAGATCCACGTTTAAGAGTTATTTTTTCTCTACTCTTGCTCCAACTTTAGAGCATAGGGCTGACTTCTCTGTTTCATGAGGCGGTAGGACTCCTTGGACGGGTGATCAGTGTAACCGCTCACTTCCCTTGTGCCCTTTTCGTTGTGCGCCACTCCACCACCGCTCACTTCTTTGGGTTCTTTACTTTAATCAGTAGAGCTGGGTTCCTATCCCAGGGTCTTATAAGGGTCTGGCTCGGACAGGGCAGGAAGAACACTTCACTACAATCACCCACCTTTCGACGGTTGCACTTAGTAGTCCTTTAATCCCTTCCAGCTTTCTGCATACAACTGAATTTATTAATACTATTGAATTGAACTGTACTTATACTATTTTACGGAAGGGCCGTAGTGGTAAATTTAGTGTCCGACTTTGCCGAAAGTAGTGTCAAGACTCCCCGAGGTGGAATGCCCTCTCTCTGAATTCTGAGGTCCACGAACCCCAGACTCCAAGAGAAATCCACTCCTCCACTTCTGCCATTGGTTAATTTTTCAAACTAGGAGGTTCCCTAAATTTTGAATTCCCAATCATGTGGCTCTGCTATGTGATTCTGGCAGATGCTGACCTGACGCTAAGGATGACAGCCCCTTGATGCATTACGGTCAGGGTGTGAGGCTCCGGCCGTCCCACTTCTAAGTTATCGCTGTCCCAAGCTGTCAGCTCTCATTTTCTCAAAGCCTTTCCGACGTTGCTGAAACTGCCAGAATTCTAGGAAAGTACCAGATGTTACTTCCTGTTCACATAGCAAAACTTGAACTATGTCCCTTCCGCGTGTAAGAGCTGGCTATCTGCCGGATCTCTTTGTTTGTAATATTGTTAATCTTAACTTAATACAAAATTTAATTTTCACACAACACTCCTCCAGTCAGAATGGACGGTTACATCAGCTCGTCGCAAGGCCTCTACTTAAACGCAGGACAACACAAATAAATAATAAACGCATACACACACCAAACATCCATGCCTTTGTGTGGGATTCGAACCGAACCCACGATCCCGGCTTCCGAGTGAGTGAAGACAGTACATGCTCTAGACCGCTCGGCTTCTGTGACCGGCTTTAAGAGGTATATCAAGGTGAATATATAGATCCCCGCCTTCTTAACCTCAAGCAGTCATGTGAGGGAAATAAGGAACACAAATTCTTATCCCATGAGTCCATCTAACAGCTACTCACCCGCTGCTTGCCTTGTATGTTAAAGATTTCCTTTTACAAATCGTGCAATTTCATTTTATTGAAATTAATTACGTTTACTCTATAATGTACTGTACTTCTTTACAATCAGTGTCAGTAACATAACACTGAACACTGACAACCTCTACTGCTGGGAAGGTGAGCCTAGTACATTGACGCCCGGAAGGTATGCAGAGCGAGAGTTCGGGCGGACGGCTTCAATCCCGTCACCCACGTCCATGTCTCCAAAACCCGTGTATGGATGGAGGAGAGTGGTCAGGTTTACGATCCAGCGTATTTATCGCCATTCCTCCATAACTATCTCATAAGAATCAATTGAGAGCTACGGTATTCAATGAATTCAATTGTATAAATGGAAAATCCAGTCTCTGTAGAAAATTCGATACAAAAAAGAAAAAATGGGATTTCATCTAAATCAGCTTAAATAAGAGAGTTCCGTCTTCTGGGATACAGCGACGCAAGCCAAGCATGAAGTCAGTTGGAAGCTGCTTGTTTCATGCTGGTTTCTTGCTTGGCTTATTCTTCTGTCCTGTGGATGGAGGCCGCATGTTCCTCCGAACGTTAACTTTCACCGGACAGCACGACGTTATGTCCCAGAAGACAGAACTTTACATAACCAGAGTTCTGAGAACATGAATCATACGGCTTCAATACAAAGATTACATAAGTAGACGAAGCAATTCAACTTTCCTGTTATCTCTTCATTTTTATGCATTTCATGCAAAGAACTTCTACACAATCTTAGAACCGTATATGTATAAAAATTATGTACCTGTGAGATGGAAGCTCTGAAACTGCGTAATTTCGGGTTACCATAACAACGCATTGCTGAAAATTATCATGCTGCACGAACTATGTTACATACGAGGGTTGGAACTTTGATAGTGGCAACTATTTATTTACAACTGATAC